GAGGTCCAGCAGGCTTTTCGCTGGACAGTTCCCAGCAGGCAAGGGTTTGGAAAGGCAGCCAGCAGCTAGGAGTGCAGGGCACATCATCCCCAAGAGAGGGGCAGGGGTAGCATCCTCATCTCGGTGGAGCCACTCCACCTCAGCTTCTTTCTTCTCTCCAGACATGAGATTCTAGAACTTTCCATTGCCCAAGTCTTCAGGTGTTCCAGAATCTAGAAAGTAGCTGAAGAAACAAAGGCCTCTGAATCCTCTTCTGCCTTAGGGAGGATTGAGCTCAGCTCTCAAGCCCATTGAATAAAGGGGTGGTGCTGCCCACATGACAATGCTTGGCTAAGTAAGCCCAGTGGAGGAGAAGGGGGAACAGTCACGTGCCAAGATTTAAGAGGGCTGGATTCTAGCCTACTTATTTACCAGCCAGGAACATGAGCCACTGGGGTAATGACTGCAGGCCCCAGTTTGCTCAAGGGACTTGTATCTCCAAGGTCCAAACTCTTCTGGAATGCATGTACGATCTGCAGAAGCTCAGAGACTAGAGCATGTGAGTGGTACATTTCTTTCTTTTTTTTTTTTTTTTGGAGAGGTTTTCACTATAGGGCACGTGCGCTCGCCAGACAGACAGAAAGAGACATAGAGACAGAAAGCGAGAAATCACCCCCCAGGGGGGATGGTCACGCTGCAATCCCTTCTCCTCCATTCTCCTCTCAGGATCTTGGGCATACACGCACACGTGCCTGGCGTGAGTTTTAAGCCACCGGGTTCGGGACGTGAACCACGGTCGACTACATGGGAGTCCAGCGACATAGCCATTACGCTAATTGCTGGTTCCCTGAGTGGAGCATTTCTACAGCCAGACTTGGCTTCAGGTGGAATCCTGGCTTCCCCAAGCCCCTTTCATGGCCCTACCTTCCTCTGTACTCTTCCCTGCATCCTTGCCAGGCCGGCCTCACGTGCACTCACCTACCACCCATCCACCACACTCACTGTCATGTGCACGTGATGTGGATCACCCACTGTGACCAGGAGAAACAGCCCCCATGTGTTCCATCCCAGGCTACAGGGCTGGATGTGGGAGGGCTCCACCTTCACTAAAGTCTGCACAGGAACACTCACCACATGGCTCCTGAAGGTCAGCCCTGGTGGATCTGCGAGGCTCTCCCTGAATGAAGGTCCCAAACGATTTTAACGTGCTTGCTGTAGACAGCTTTTAGAAACTCCATTCACCTAGAATCCCCTGACCTGGGCTTTCCCCACATTATTGCTAGTAACTAGGTCATGCAGCTGCCAGACTTGAGCTGCAGCCTCTGAGCACTCAGCTGTCCCTCTCTGTTTCCAAGGTCTTTGCATAAAACCCTCATTGTTTTCTCCGATTTCCACTGTGTTTTCTAACCAGTCACTATCAGCCTACTAAGCAAACAAACTCCATGCTTGCATTTAGGCCATTACTTGTATCCCAGCATATATATCCACCCTTTCTGCCTCAGAGATACAGTATCCAGTGGTTACAAGAGTCATATGCACTTGGATTTGAATTCTTCTGCATGACCTTGGGCTAGGTACATAAATATTTCTTTCTCTCTCTCTTTCTTTCTTTCTCTTTTGTTTTGTTTAAGAGAGATTTTTGCTATAGGGAGCTTGTTCTCACTGGAGAGAGACAGACAGAAATCACCCCCTCCCCCCAGGAGGATGACCACACCATAATCCGTAATCCGTTCTCCATTCTCCTCTCGGGATTTTGGGCATGCACACACACATGCTCGGTATGAGTTTTAAGCCACTGGGTCTGGAACTTGAACTGTGATACACTACGTGGGAATCTAGCGATGTAACCATTACGCCATCTGCTGGTCCCGCTACATATTTCTAAGCCTTGGGATTTTTTTATCTGTAAAATGGGACTAGTAATAGTGTCTCTCTTAGAGGATTATTATGATAACCAAAGGAGATAATGCATCTAAAGTAATTTGCACAATGTTTAGCTCAAGACATTTTATTTCTTACTATCTGTATCCATTTACTCCTTCTCTTACTCCCACCCAAGTAGTAAAGTAAGTAGAACAGCTTAAATTATGCTTCTGGTAGCCTATATTTGTAGAATGATCTATTTCTTAGGTTACACATTAATTCAAGGCTTCATTAAGTAGCTCAAAGCCTTGGGCAACAGATTACTTATAAATAGTATAATATTTGGTGCCTCCTTAGTTGTGTAGTCAGACATTTTTAATGGTCCATGACTCAGAATCAGGATGAAGTTTGAACACGACCCCACATGTATACACACACTTCTGCACACACTGAAGGGAGGAAGAAGATAACCCCAATTATTTTTTTTTTAAAGATAAATCAAAAGCAGCAAGATGCAGTGGAGCAGCAGTAATACAGTGCTCTGAGATGCTAAGGCAGGTGGAGAGGTCCCGGGTTTGCGACTCTTGGTCTACCAGCACAAACTGGGCCTGTGCCTGCCAGGATGGGACTGGGGTGGATTATATCATGAGGTATAAGAATCCTGTGAGGGATCCTGCATCTCTGTTTCTTATTATCTGTCTCTCTCTCTCTCTCGCTCTCTCATGGGAAAAATAAAATTAAACTTTGCGGGGGGGGGGAAGAAAAGTCAAAATGCAATTGGAATGGGATCAAAATTTACTTGCATCAAAGAATGTAGAAAAACATATTCCAAGTCTTGATTAATAGGTTCATTGTTGTTTAAACCTAATTATTGGCAAAGCATCATTTCAGGACACCCTTTTGCAAAAGTTGCTAACTCCCATGATAATTTACTGAGTCTTTCCCTTGGCAAACACATCAATCAAATTTGCACAGTTAATTTAATCATTAGGTAGTTTAGGAAGGAAGATCACTGTAATTTTGTACCTCTACCAGGAGTCATTCAGGCCTTTATCTGTTTTGTTCTTCTGTGTGTGTGATTTACAGTGGATAGGCTGCTGGAGGACAGCATTGGTAAAAGAGAGAGCCAGAGAGAGAGTGTCGTTGTGTTTTGGATGATGGTTTGTCCCCCAAAGTTTATATTTTGGAATTCGATGTTGGGAGGTGGTAAGCTCAGTGGGCAGTGATTGGATCGTGATGATTGCATCATGGAGACAACACACGTGAATAGATTAATGATGTCTTGCAAAACCCAGTGAATTCTAGTTCTCATGAAAAGTGTTAGTTTTCATGAGAACTGGTTGTTATAAAAGAGCTGCTGTTGGAGCTAGCAGATGGCTTAATAGTTTCGTTGCTGTACTCCCACATAGTCAATTTAGGTTCGAGTCCCAGACCTGGCAGCTTAAAACTCATGCCAGGTGCATGTGTGTGCATGCCCAAAATCCCAAGAGAGTGGAGGAGAAGGGATTGTGGTGTGGCCATCCCCTCTGAGGGGTGATTTCTCGCTTTCTGTCTCTCTCTCTCTGTCTCTCTGGCAAGTGCACATGCCCTATAGCAAAAATCTAAAAA